TTATGGCAATTAAAGTTGGCACCAAAAACAAGATATCTGTGAAGTTTCAAAAGTGTGCCACCAAATTTAAAAAAATGGCAGCATAAAATATAACGATTTTTTTTTTTTATTTTAACAAACACGTTTGTGCCAACTCGTAAGATTTGCTCTTATATGTATATCACAAAGAATATTTAGATTTGCTAAAAATATTCTCAATTGTCTAAGCAAAATAAAATCTACAAGTATACAAAACAAACTTGAAACAGCTCTCGAAAATTTTACTGATTAAAAGAACATCCGAAAACACAAACACACTTATGTACATACATATGTATATAAATATAGTCCCCTCCAATTAACCTTGAAGCGATGTTTAGTATGAATTTATATGTATCTAGTATAAATATACATAGTATGTGTACCAAAATGTTATTGAAACCTCTGCAGTAGTTCTAAACTAAAATTGAAGACAACAATTAAATATTTAATGCAAGTTTAGCAAAAACGATTTGTAAAAGTACTTAAATTAAGTTTATAAAACTACTACCCTCTAAGACGATAAGTATTTTCGAAATAAAAAATGTTAGTCTAAGTAATTACAAAAAAAAAATATAAATAGAAGTAAGCCAAATACCCATACGCCTATTTATTTATTAAAAATAGAGACGAATAACCATACTGTGTTTTATTAGTTCCTTTTACATACAAATGTACAAATATTTTAGTCATTTATGTAGGACTAACTACAGTGACTCAAACAAACGACCACGTGTGGCTTTTTTTTAAATATTCGTAATATTTTGCCAGCTAATTTTTTTTTGTTATTTTTATATAGAAATATCGTTTAAGCTTTAACCAAAACAGTTTCAAACTTTATACAAAATTTAGGAAAATTCGACAAATTTTCATCAAAATTTCACCTTTTTTTTAGAATTTTTGAAAATTTTGGGCATACAATTTTAGTTTAATAAAGTGCAAGTTTTAAACGGCTAAAAAATCGTGTTGATTTTTGATAATTTTTTTAGTGGCTACTTTTTCGGGGTTTTTAATATAACAAGCGCAATTTACAAAAACTTGCGTTGATATTTTTAAATTTTGTTGCTGACGGTCTCCCGCATTTTATTTCATAAGATATTCATATCTTATATGAAAAAAGTGCAAAAAAGTTGAAATTTTGATGAAAATTTGTTGAAGTTTCCTAAGTTTTGTATAAAGTTTGAAGCTGTGATTTACACGGGTTTGCTTAAAGCTTAGACGATATTTTTATATAAAAATAACAAAAAAAATTTAGTTCGAAAATATTAAAGTATTTGAAGAAAATCAGCACATGGTTAGTTGTTTGAGTCACAGTATGTGGCGCCACAAAACTTGTAGGTAAGCCAAACAAATCTCTCAGTTGTATTTTTTTTTTTTTATATAAAATATCTAAAATACTTTTCTTTAAGTAAAAATCATATTAAATTATTTTGCTTAATTTTCCTATTTCTGTTAAAAAGAAAAGAATGTAACAATAATAATTAAATTAGTTATGAACGTAAAAAAAATGTTGTTTTATTCCGACCTTTTATACAACCCTTTAGGAAAACGATCAGCGTTGCCGTTTTGGTCCAATTGGACCAAAATTGGTAGCTTCATTCTCCGTTGGTAGCTTGGTTGGTTTGATGAAGCTTTTGGTAGGCAAAAATGTTTTGAAAATACAACCAAATTGAACATTAAAATTTGTTCGCTTAATTTGAGTTTACACGTTCAAAACACTGCTTTCACTTTGATTACACGTAAAAGATTTCTTTATTTTTTTCTATATTTTGCTAAGCGGACAATTTTCTGCAAACAAAAACTCACGTCCCAAAGCTATGATTGATTAGCTGTTGAAATTAACGAGAAATTACCTATCGTCTTGAAAGAAAAATTGGTGATAGGCAATTTGCAAAGTGTGAGTGTATTGGTAAAAAAGGGTGAGTGCATGCAAATTGAATCAAATTTGGAATTTTTTTTTTATTGAAATGCATAAAATGTCTGCTTTTGTTTTTTCACACACAAAAAAAAATGTTTGATATGAGTTGAATCAATCTCAAAGATATTAGATAATTAACCAATACCGTAAACAATATTATGTGTAGTTTTAATTTTCACTGCTAATTTGTGTAGCTAAAAATCCCGCAAACTCGAGAAATCTTGTTTTAATGATGAAAAAAATTTGGTAGTTTGGAAACTTATTTGGTAGGCGTTTTGGTACCTAAAAATATTTTCAAGTGGCAACGCTGAAAACGATGGCAAATTATCCCATTTTGTCAGTTGATAGAAGAAAATGGTGCCACTACTAGACCCACTCCTGGTGATGCTAGATGTGGAAATTACTTTTTGTTTACATTTAGCAATCGTTAGTTCAGCTGAAAAGAGACGCATGAATAGCATAAGTTCGACGCGACACAATGGTGCAGCGGGCCACAAATGCTGGCAAAAAATCAAAATTTTAAAATGTCTGTACGCATCTTTCTATTTCTATGTTTTTTTTTAATATTCCAGCTAAAATAAGCCAATATCTTTTGGCAGTAAAACAAACAAAAGGGTTTTTCGCTAGAAGTGCAAGGTGAATTTTTCGAGTTTTTTGTCCTGGCTTTAAGCAGCCGCTGTGGTGTAGTAGGAAGCAGTGCCCGCTACCACTCGGCAAGGCTTGGGTTCAAGCCCTGGTCAAAGCAACATTGCAAAAAAAAACACAGAAAAAAGGTTTTTTCTTAAGAGCGGTCGTCCCTCGACAGGCAATGGCAAACCTCCGAGTATATTTCTGTCATGAAAAACAGCTTCTCATAAAAATACATTCGCCGTTCGGAATCGTCGTGAAACTGTAGACCCCTCGCCGTTTTTTGTGACAACATCAAGGGGAACGCCACAAATCAAAGTATAAGCTCGACCAAACACTAACACATGTGTTAGGTCAAGGCCACGCTCTGAGCGGCAAAGCGGCGAGCGCTTCAGCGGTGAGCGACTTAAAATTAAAATATTTGACATACTATTGAAGTGGCCACACAATGAGCGGTAGAACAGCTCGAAACATCTACATAGCAACACATGGGTGCCACGAGATTTGACATCAACCGACGGTCTTTACAGAGAATTTTGATAATAGACTTTCAAGTTGTTAGCCTGCGCTCAAGTCAGGAATTGGTAACCTGTGCTCAAAATCAAACGGTTATCTCTACGAGCTTTCACGCTTCTGCGCTGCAAGGAGCCTAACCCTCTACCCTACAAAATCCGTAGCAACCATTTTTGCTACCTGCACGAAAGAGATACGGCTACAACAGTTTCGACACTGAACAACCAAAAATACTGAGAGTAACATTCGACTGCCAGCTCTCTTTCTCGGCGCACACAACCGCATCAATGTCCTGTAATCGCTTGATTGGCAACATAGTAGGCAATTTGACGACGCGCTCTAAACTTTTCAGCGGCCGTGTGGTCGCCGGGGACAAGTCGGATGTAGTGAACGAAGCTATAGACATGCCACTACAGAGCACACGCTTCCAGAGGTAGCCAGAACATCACATATCACAGGGAGACGCAAACAGAAAGTTCCCAGTAGAGTGCTACATATGTGAGCACCTGAACAGACACTTGCACGACGCGGAAGCTCCTGCAATATTTCCCGATTTAGTAATTCCCAAGTCTGTGTGTGTAAACGCCCATTATAATATGCGCATTAAAATGGCGGCATTCGCATGGGAGTTAATGTCATCGTTTACGAGTATAAGCGACTTAAAGTAGTTTGACTGACATTAAGTATTAATTATAACCAGTCTCCTTCGCTTTTCTTCCATATCCAGGGAGAACAAATGGTGCTGTTATTAAGCCAGATGATGTCGATATCACCTACGATACTATTATGAAAAATTTAACGTTAAAATTCGGCAGCTCTTTTTGTCCTCTGCAGCATCAGACATATTTACTCATCTCCACCTTATTCGAGTAGCTCAGTTTACAGTCCGCCAGCTCAAGCAGCTTTACTTGTTTACCAATAAATTCCTTTTCATACCTCGTTATCATACCTTCTGCATTCAGTGTTGCCGTTGAGAATTTTCAGAAAGTCGCAAAAAAAGGGTCGAATTTACATGTACATATAAAGTCTTTTCCCGACTAGAACATTCCGCTGCTGAATTTAAAAAGAAAATAGCGGGACAAGATTTCCCCAAAACACAAAAATCGAGTTGCTGCAGGCAGAAGAGTTGCATTTCCTTTAAAAGTGATGAATTTTTTCGTAATTACAGGAGGAAATATTTTATAAAAGCATGGTTCTGTTAAAATTTCATAGAAAAATCTCTGAAAAGGAGCAAAATTCGCACATAATTTTGGAAAAGGGTCAAAAAATCTTAATTTTTAAAAAGTCCGGTCAAAGAGTATTGGCACCTAAAAAGGGTCAAATTTCCCCTTTAGTCGCACAACGGCAACACTGTTCGCACTAATTTTAGCGAAGTTACCATGAAACGGACCTAAAATATTTACCCTCCTTAACTCAATTATGTTTTGGACATCGGTGACTTGATTGCCGTGGTTGTTCTTACATTAATTCGCTCTGTCCTTGAAACCTTCCGTATGTCGGCTAACTTTTTTCATACAATTTTTGGCAGTTACAACTTTTATTATAAAAATGGCTCTTTAACAATTATTTTTCGACATTTATTTAATTACTCCTTAAATAACAGTTACGTCTGATTTTTAATTTATAAATCCAAAATAACAGTTATTTTTAATTTTTATCTTAATAATCCGCAAATATCAGTTAATTTTTTTAACTTTTGTTTTGAATTTTTCCGTCACATTTTTAAAGGTCTTAACCGTGGACCAAATACAAAAATTGAAATTGGGATGAAAAAATTTAGTTAAAATAAATAAATTTCGAATGCAACTTTTTTTTCGTAATTTAGATGGAATGCATCACTCTTAAATATCGACTAGAGGTGAATATGGCTATTAAATCTATGCACTTATTTTCAACATTTTCTGGAAATTTCTTCTGGCTATCCTCACAAATTCTTCACAATATCTTTCACAACAGACCGAAAAAGCGACGAAAGCAAACTTTCATAACAGCGCTGAGTCAATTGCCTCAAACCCAGTAACAATGTGCCGAAACGCAACCAATTTGATTGCTGCATGGTGTAGCGCGCGAGGGAAACCAAAGCGCCATTTGCATAACTCTCCAGCAGGACTGCGTTCTCTGCGCTAACGGCCAACTCTGTAAGCCAACAAAATACCAACTATTTATGTCAACATCGACCATGTTCATAAGTACATAGTACCACCGCTTACCTTTCCGGCATAGTATTAGGGTTTCAAGAAAATTTAACTCCATCACGTCGGCCCGCAGCTGCTTTGCCTCCACAATAATGCGCCGCAATTGCGGATCACCGCAGGCATCAATCATGGCGCTTATGTCGAGCGACCAATGGGAGGCGCGCAGCACAAAGCACTCATTCCACACGGCGCTCAAAATCGCCTCCTGTTGCGCTGCAGCAAGTGTACGGAATTGTTCATTGCACTTAGCCTGACGCAGGCAGGTGACTAGAATTTGTGCAAGTATTTGAAAATTCATTGCATTGCCGCTGGCGTTAACCGCATTTACTGTACCACTGCGTCGTTGTTGTTGTTGTTGCACGAGTGCAGTATAATGCGAAGATATGCAACCGATAGCAGTCGTGCGATTGTTGCCGCCGCTGATGTAACCGCTATGCGTCGGCGACGGTGTTATGCCGCCATGTTTCGCTATGGCTGTCGCTTGTGTGCGTGGTCCGCGCTCTTCCTGCACAGCGGCCACATTCATGCCCACGGCTAGGCAACGTTGTAAACGACAATATGGACACCAATTGCGGCGTGCCTTATCCACAACACAATTGCCTTTTGCGGCTATGCAGGCGTACATGGTGCCTTTCCGTACGCTGCGCTTGAAGAAACAGGAACAGCCATCACAACAGAGCACACCATAATGCTTGCCCGAACTCTGATCGCCGCAAACTTGACAGGCGCTGGGCACATGCGGTGTATTCGCTGTAGTCGTCGGTGGCACAAGTCCGCTATATAGCGTGGATATTGTGGGTGCTGTAGAACTCTGTTGGGAACTATCGGCTGCACCTTGATGTAGCATGTTCGGGAGCCGCGATCTAGGAAACAACTGAAATCCTTTGCTAACTTGCGTGCAGTTTTTATAGCTACGCTTCTCATTTCTAGCGCTAGACGCTGGCGTTTCGTACTACTTTTGCGTATCTCCACATTTCAATGCTTTCCTAGGTAACTACGTTATGTTTTCAATCACGCTTCCTTTGTTATTTCTTACTGTTAACTCACATCCTTGTTTAATTTTTGTCAATCATAGCCGCGTGGCACCTCTTCAATGGCGTATTTACATAACCACTTACTCGTATGTCTGTTCACTTTATTGGTCAATAGAGCGGTTGTCCTGTCGATCAACGTTGTCCAGCGACTTCAACGGCAAAGCAAAGGTTCGCAAGTTTTTATTAATAAGCGCATCAAAATGTCCCTAGTGGCATGAGGCGGTAATACTGACGTACTTATGTTGGCACATTACAGTAAAATACCGAAGTGATGTAAAGGAATGTCGGTTAGGAGTTTCAAGTGCCTAAGCGGTTAAGAATACGATTTTTTTACAAAAATTTGGTTATACGGTCATTTCAGTAAAGACAAATATAGATCGATCGCAAGAAATCTTCGTCAAATGGAGGTCTATTAGAAAAGTATACTTTCTTCTAAAAACTCTTCAGCAGCTAGTCAGAATTTAGATGAAGGCTTCACCTCGATCTGAGAATTTGGATATGCAAACTGTGAGCCGGTAGAAAAATTTCGGTGCAATAGGGCTTAAATGGGGTAGAGGTGCACCACAAGCTGCTAAAATCAGGCTGCTGAAATCAGGTGGAGGTGTAGCTGTTGTTGTTATTGTAACAGCATACAAATTTCCCAAAAATATTTTGCGCAGTGATGCTGGAGCGAAAGACGTTGGCTATATATAAATCTGGGTCGTTCCGGTTACGTAGTCCCGACCATCGTGGGAACGAAGAGTAGCTGTGCTAACAGTTTATATGGCTGACGTTTCATTCATCGTCTGATTACCCTCAGCAAAGCGGGACTGAGCGTTCACGTAGACTAAACCAACTTAGTACTATTCACTAGGAAATACAGGTTCCCAGTCTGGAGCAGACACGAGCTAGGAAACTACTCTACAACCAAAGCCAATCACAAGATCCATTTGGAGGAGTGGGGGAAGAAGGCCTAAGCGGAATTTTTTATATGTTAAAATAATATTGGTCTGTACTACTTCTTGCTTTTCGCTTTCACGTTTGATATTCAAGGCTATCTACTCTGTGATGTATCAGTAAGAGGAACAGCCAAGAAAAAGAAGACATATGTATCTAAGAGAAAAATCAACTGGAGAGCTCTCAATGGTAAGTCTTGGACTCAACAACAAGAGCGCCGCCTCACACCGCATAACACGCGCCACCCGTGAACCTAGTAGCTAAAAACATAGGCTTACAACTTTTGATAGGATTTGCGCTTTTATATCAGCTTGGATTCAGGACGTACGGTCAGCACAGTAGTATAGCTTCATCACTGGTAGATTGAGTAGTCTATGTGATACCGCACTCGAGTTTCTAAAGGTATCTTGCAGCTACAATAGAAGTAGTTAGTTGGCGTACCTTCTACCTTATTTGCACCCCTTACGCCAACCAGCAACCTCTATTTGCACTGATGGTTTCGAAATGGTCGTTGAAGTAGAAGGTGTGGTTTACTTCCCTGAACCGGAAACTTGCAGGTCCTTGACACTAATGGACTTCTGTAGTATTTGTTCTTTGTTAGTGTTGTATCTGCAGCTTTTTAAATAGATAGAGCGGCTCTGCCACCGAAAATAAATATGTTGAGCAGAGTATAAACATTTATATTTCCAATTAGGCAGCCGTTAAGGCACTCGTCTTATATTATGACTACCCTAAGGCTATTGTAGATAATAAGAAGGCTATAGGAGAACTATCTACGGCCAAAATCATCCGGCTATATTTGGTCCAAAGACATAAAAGAGCTGAAGGTAATGATATGACAGAGACGCGTTGCAAGCGTGTTGAGCGCTTTGCTTTTGAGAACAGAGGCTCTACATGGCTCATGTAGAACTTTTGTTGATTTTCTTAGCTCTTTTGTTTTGAATGTATCCTACCAAACTACTACCCCAGACACACCTCCAGGCACTAGTTTTGTCCAACAGCCCTCGTGCAGAAGTATACAGCAGTTGTTGCTTTTCGAACCCTTTCAACGATGTTAGGATCCAATGTAATTTCCTTTGCAGAATTAGACCTAGCATAAGTTAAGGTGATATTTCCGAGAGATGGACAGATGTGTTTCCTTGTAAATAGTAGCAGTTCTGATTTTGTGGAATTCACTCCCAAAACACTGTTGCTGCACCATCACCAGAGGATTAGTAAACCTTACGACATACTTTTTGACGAAGGAGTCTCCTAGTTATGAGTTTATGACTCAATCTCGGAGGAGTTTGTTGACAAAATCTACCAGCATGGTGCAGAACCCAAGCTCCTGGAGTGGTGAGATGACTGCATCTGGACTGACATCATTGAAAGGACATTCAATTTCTGAGCATATTCTATGTAATGCAAAAGTTTTTCGATGTCATGAAGGGGTTTTCGTGTATTCATGTTGGGAAGTAGAGAGCTTCGCACTTAATAATTCTCTGATTTCGGTGTCCAATATGCGTTCCAGTGAGCTCAGAGGGAAGGATGAGATGCTTATTGGTCTGAACTCATTGGGTTTGTTGTGCGAAGATTTGCCCACTTGGGAGATAAATGAAATTTTACCTACGTTCATCTTTGTGGTATATAGTCGAGGCTGACAGCCGCTGTAGAGATTGTTTTTAATTAATAATTATATCCATGGTTTTCTGCAGACCGATGGGTAGGATGAGCAACTGCAAATAGCTTCCTTAGTGCTTTCATCAGAAGTAATAATAACCCTCCTGTACTGTTGGAGTCAATCGCTACTTTTGAACCCTGTAGTCCTGTAGTCGCTCCCCCGTACTGCAGGGAAGAGGGAATTCGCCATCTGGGGCATCAATCGGTGAATTGTTCGCAACCCTGGTTTCGGAACAATCAGGAAAGTGCGTCTGCATGAAAAATTCGAGCGTTTTGGAGCTGCCAACCGTCCATTCATCATTTCCTTTGAACAGGTAGCTAATCGCGCTTCGACTTTTTGAAAGGATCTTGCGTAATCGCTTTGCCTTCGAGCTGCTTTCTATCGTTTGACAGAAAGTTTCCCAGGACCAGTTCATTTTACCAAGTATTCACTGTCTGTAATGCAAGCATATTTTAACTAACATTCTGCAATGGTCCCCTCCCACTTATTTTATGGCATACACATACATACATACTTACCTATCTACGTTTGTTTACTTTGATTGGTGTAACCGTGACTGGCAATGTTTATTTACACAATGTTTCCTAACCAGCAACTACCGAGAAGACCACTTAAAATTTACCTTTAAACAACAATAACACACTCGTCTTTGTACGAGCCAGTTGTTACGAGTATTCTTCAAGTGTTGGTCAATTTGTCAGTTGTCACGCGTCATTGTGGTGACGTGGGTGTAACCAACAATCAGACAACAGCTAACATTTTGCAGCGTTAATAATTTGTAAACAATTAATTTGATTTGATTAGACCTTTGCCATCGCTGATTTAAGGGGTGTGATAGATACATATGTATGTGTAAATATACATATTTATATTTTTCTATACCCGAGCGCACCTGAGCACAAGGGTATTGTAACTTTGTTAGCATAACGGATTTTGTAACAGCCTAGAGGAATAGAGCTAGATAGATAGAGACATGTATACAACAAAATGTTCAGAATGAAAAGAAAAATCGATTAAGCCATGTCTGTCTGTCCGTACGTTCGTCCGTTTATCAAGTAAAGTCTGAGTTATCTCACCGATTCCAATTTAGGGACAGGTTGCCCTGGAGGATGGTATTGAAAATGGCCGAAATAGGTATTTTCGAAATTCGCAAAAGCTACGATCGAATGTGAAGTCGAATCTTGGCATAAAGTAAGACAGTTATGAAATTTTTGGAAAGTGGGCGTGGCACCGCCTACTTGTGATGAAATTCGCTGCGATCATTACTTACGAGTCGCACTATGAGACCCGTTGGAAAATTTCAAAATTGGAAAATGACCACGCCCAACTCCCACATGACGGTAATTTACAAAAATGCGAAAACTCCGATAAATTAGTAAAACTACTCGATGCTTGCAATAACCTCAATAATGCAATATGTTGAAAATTTAAAACGGACTAAAATGACGCTCACTCACCATATGTAACGGTAAATTTCAGAATGGAGAAAACTCCGATATTTCAATAACTTAAAACGAAAATTTACTACAACTTGCAACAACAATCTCTTAACTAGAAATAATATTAGAAATTTTTGGAAAATGGGCGTGGCACCATCCACTTATGACTACTTAATTTTATCTCAGTAATATTTATCGATTTATTCCAAACTTGGTTCAATTATTCCGATAAGTCTGATATAACAAATTATCAAAACTGTTTAAAATCGAAGAAATAACCCCTTTTTATCATGCAGTTTACAGAAAGTTGGAAAAACGCTATTTAATACGTGCACCGGCTACTTGTTTTCCTTAGAGTTCTTAGTCTGTAGGATATTTGCATTCAATGCCTTTGACGAAGTGTGCATGGGTAGGGCAGTCTTTTTGCGGTTATTGGTTAGTTGCTCTAATGCCGCCATGCAACTTGCTTACATACAAATGTTACATACTTATGTATATGTATGCATGCGTGTAATTTTGTAATGCGCTGTTTATTTGATTTACTAACGTTTAAAGTAAACAGTGGACCTACCCCACATTTTGATAAACCAAAGTTTATTCAAGCGGGCAGAACATGAAGTGAGGGTAGGGATAATCTTAGCCAATCACAGTAACTGTTGGGACTTCAGTCAGCACACCTGTCAGCATGGCATAGCGATCTCAGTGGATATAGCGGCGCCTTGGACAAAGTTGGCTGAAGTTGATGACTCGTGTTCGAATGTAAATGGCTATCTCTCCGAACTTTCTCATTTATTATTCATAGGCTAAATCTCTCTCATGGTGTAATGTTCTGGGGCCTTGGAGGGTGGTCAGAGTTACCTTTATTCCTAAGGTCTCTCATATGTATATCCACCGGGAACTACAGGCCGATCAGTCGTCTCCTTTCGTGAAGGCGCTGGAGAACTTGATTGATCTGCACATAAAAAGCTGGACGCCTTTACCTAAATCCGCATGCCTACTGCAAGACCAGATCGGTTGAAATGCCCCTACACACGGTCGCTGATATAGTATTGAATAGTATTTTCCGAAGAAGGAGTACGCGGTTGTTGCCTTTCTTGATATCGAGGGGGCTTTTTATCCGGCGATGTGGATAATTTCGTCGTTGTTTTGGGTTACTGTCGTCAACGACTTGTTGGTGGCTCTGGAGCTAAATGGCTGCCGGGTGGTTGCTTTGGCTGGGAGTTAAACTACGTGTCAGTCAGTGACGGACCCACAGGGGGTGTCTTAATACCCAAAACCCCCCGCTGGATCCGCCACTGTGTGTTTCTGTAAAGAGTCCTATTTATTTCGATAGACCTTCCATTTTAATTTAAAAATCTTTAGAGATTATATACCCCTTTAGATATTTAGATACCCCTCTACAAATTTACTTTTAATATGACTTAATAAAGCCCCATTCTTTAAGTATGAATACAAATGAGCACATCCACGGATCATCGGTATATCAAGAAGAAGTGTGACGGATTAATTAAAAAGAGCATGGTAGGAACATCAATGACCTTGTTTGAACAGGAATAGGGGGGGGGGGGGACCCACGGGGGTGTTTTAATATGGCGCATATGTATGTAAAATATGGCGTCTATGTATTAAAATACCCCCCGTGTGTCCGCCACTGACTGACACGTAGTTTAACCCCCAAAACCCCCGCTGGATCGGCCACTGATACATACATACGTTACGCTTGCACATTTACAGAATAAATACTATGGCACCTTTTTCAGCTGTCCACTCAAAGCAACTGAACTAGCACCCTTATACCTTTGATGATTGATGGGCTAGCCGATTTAGGCAGGGCTTGGTAGTGATATTCATGGGCGTAGCCAGGTAGGGGCTGGGGGGTGCGCAACCCCCGCCCTCCCTCCTAACTTTCAAATTTTCCTTATATATATATAAAATAGTACCCTGAAATTCCAGCTTAATAGGGTCGAGCCTCCGCCTCTTGTGTTCGGAACTATACGTTACATAGAATTTGTGATGACGTAATATTAGCCAAAGACCAAGGACTTGTGTCATTAGGTGTGTACTCGTATTGAGAGGACAAAATTCTCCAGCAGCAAAAGTTCTGAGAATTTAGCAGCATTCGTTCTCAAAGAGACGAAATATCAACAGAAGTACGAGAACGCAAAATTTGCAAAAACTTGCAACCTTCGAAACAGCTGATCACTTGCACAGTTGCCACTGGTGATTAATTTGGCAATTTATTTTCTGCTTGCTACATTTTCCCCCGATTTGGTATTTTATACAATTGAATAGTTTTGGATAAGAAAAACCTTTTTAAATACAAATTAATTATATCGGAATGAATAAGTTATTTTTTCCATAATTATTTGGGATATCACATGGTGACGCATTCAAAAACAAGATTATCTCCTCCAAACACCCATCATTGATCCAAAAGAAATGTAATAGATACAGCTTTAAAATTATAAAATTCATTTCGACAATCAACCTACCAAAACCGAAAACTTCAGCAAAAAAACATTTCAGCATGCTGCATTTAAATCTAGTTTGGTATGTTTAAAGGAAAATTATGGTACAAACGAAAAATGTCATACGGCAACCATTGCCAGCACACACTAGGGTAAACAAACTGGAGATTAATAGCAAATGAACGAAACATAAACTCAACAAACGTTGTGCTTATTAAATTTACTCACTTTTTCGTTGTATACTAGCATTAATGATAAAACTTGCAATAAATAACTCAAAAATGCCATATTTTCTTTTGTTTATTTACAAACATGTGTTTGTGATCAGCTGATTTTCTTACTTGCAAGTTTTAGCTGGGAAAAATTTTTCCAGCCGAAATTTGCAGCTCTCTTTCACATTTTGCTCTCTCAATTTCCCCTACTTTGCAAGTTTTTTGGGTACGAGAACGCAAAACCAGTAAAAGTTTTCTAAAACTTTAGATAGTTG